AATTTCATTACTAATTGAAATAGTGAATATCTTTCCTTTTGAATTTTGGTGCGATTGATTTGCAATTTGGTGTGAATAAAAACAGTACTGCTTTGTCAAGTTGCTCCTATAATAAATCTGTGAAATTGTGCAATTGTTAGTTTGTTAAATCATTAGGCTCACATGGTGTGGTTGATTGCTGCAATTTATGAAACAGTTGTTATTTTTTTGTTTGTAGGATATCATGAATACTAGTGGTTCTGGCAATGGCACAGGAGACTCTATTGGATCCACTCCTTCTAAAACAGATGATCCTGCTTGGGCTCATTGTTTGATTGTCCCAGGCAGGAGGAATCAGACTAAATGCTTATATTGTGTTGTTTTGAAATTAATTGTGTTGTTTATTTTTAATTTTCCTTGGATAGAAACAAGTGAAGAACCCTTGTGATGAACCTTTGTGATGAATGCTTTTAGCTTTTTTAAATTGAATATGATTCTCTATTGTCTGTTTAATCATTATTATCATCTTAATGTTTTTAAGTTAAGGTATCTAAAGGATTTTTGCTTGAGTTATAATGGAGTTTAAGTTAATGGTTGAAAAAAGAAAGGATTATACCAACTCAAAAGGTTTTCTCAAATCTTGTTCTTAATTATGTTAATTTCTTTTATAATTATTTTAAATTTTGATATTTAATTTATAAAAATATATATTTATAGCGGTAAATCCGAAATGGTATGCGAAAAATTTCGGTATCCGATACGTACCGTTTCAGTAGCAAAACCGGTATGTATGCCGGTACGGTATTGACTACTTTGCGTTCAACTATCTGAGCCCGACTTGAATGACTTTAGGCCAATGCCAAGGAACCTTTTTGTCGGGGGAGCAGAACAGGATCAACTAAGTGAAACGGAGGAGGATGAAAGAACACCAACTGGGTATGCAACCCAGCTTGAACAGTTCCAAGTTCCAACAGGAACAAGACAAAGACATTCTAGACCGTACAATCCACAGCATGAACGACCTGAAAGGTCAACGGAACTTGCTCGGACAGCCAAGCTCAAAGAGAGAACCAGAGTTCTCGAAATGGCAATAGGTAAAATCCTTACCCACTTGATCCTTGATGACCCCCTGATCCCTTTGTTGAACAGGGATGCACAACCAGCTACGGTTGTTGCCACTCGAAACTCCCATGCTCTGAGCAATGTAGTAGTGCCAACCAAACCAAAGGGAAGTGGGAGGTTGAACAACGAGCCTAGCTCGTCAAAATACAGCGAAGAACTGATAAGAAAGAATGCAGACCTTGAAAGGCAGCTACGGGACGTATAGAAATCCATCAACGAGCTGAAAAGCCCCAGGTCACATCAACAAACTCTTGATTTGGATAGTGCCCCACTGAACCTATCCATCACGGCGGAACCATATCAAGAGGGGTCCAAAATCCCCCACTTAGAGACGTATGACGGCTCGGGTGACTCAGATGAACATCTACACACCTATCAGGCCATCATGAGAATTCAAAATGCCAATGATGCCATGATGTGCAAAGTGTTCCCGGCGATCCTGAAGTCAACAACCAAAAGATGGTATCATAAACTCCCCAAACATTCTATAGACTCGTACTCCCAGCTCGCCAAGCTATTCTCCAACAAATTTGCGAGCCAAAGGGAGATTAAACGCACGGCGAACGAGCTGATGCAAGTTCACCAGAAAGAGGGGGAATCTTTGAGGGACTACATGCAGCGATTTAACAAAGCTACTTTAGACATCGGTAATGTCCCTGACACCATCTGCTTGTTTGCCCTGCTGCATGGTCTGAAACATGGCCGGTTCCTAGATGACCTGTTGGAAAATCCACCAAAGACGTGGAACGAAGTCAATAACAGGTCGGCTAGCTTCATACTGTCAGAAGACTTCCAGTCGTCCAAGCGACGAGCTGATGACAAACAAAGCAAAGGCAATGAGCAGCTACCGAGAAGGGAGGAAAAGAAAAGGCAGAAAGTTAATGAGCCATGGGGGAAGCCAGCTGAATTCCCGAAATATGCTAACTACATCCCTCTGACCTTGCCGAGGTCTCAAATTCTAGCACAAATACAACACTAGATCAGAAGACCCCCGCCCCCATTGCACGATTCCTTGAGAGTAGATAAGAGTAAACATTGTGACTACCATCGTGTGTATGGCCACAATACAAAAGACTGCCAACATTTAAAGAACGAGCTGGAGTTCTTAGCTTGCAATGGGAAATTAGAAGGATATGTCCAGAAGCCTCATACCCAACAACCAACTCAAAATCACTTTGTGCAGGGGTATGATCGACCTCAGGGGCAAAGGTACCAACTCGGCAACACACAGGACATGTATCAAGATAACCAATATCCTTCTGAGCAAGGCAGAGTGTACAGGGGCCGCAAATTCAATAGGCGAGGCCAAGGTCAAAGACCTGCCACCCATAACCAAAAAGACAAGAGAGGAGTTGGGTGCAGTGCGATACCCCCGCCGTCTGGCACAATCAACATGATCTCCGGTGGTATGCACTCAGGGGGCCAAAGTGCTCGAGCCTGCAAGGCATATGCCCGGCAGGTGATGACCGTCAACAAAAACAGGCCCTTGAAGCGGTCGTTCGAGGAGGCGGAGTGGGAGAATGCAGCCATCACATTCAGCCCGGTCGATTACAAGCGAGCAGATGGAGAGCCTGACGTTATGATGCCCCACGCAGATCCATTTGTAACAACGGTCCATATAGGCAATCATAACGTCAACAAAGTCTTTATTGATACGGGTAGCTCGCCAGATATCCTTTATTGGAGCTGCTTCAAGAAGATACAGTTGAATCCGAGCTCGTTACAGAAGTATAAAGGGCCCATCTATGGGTTCGATAATCAGCCCGTCCCGGTTGCAGGAGTCATTACCCTACCCATCTATGTGGGCTCAGAACCGTGCTTTATGATGGCTTATGTTAGCTTTCTAGTAGTCAAGATGGAGTCAGCTTTTAACGCCATATTAGGGAGGGCTACTCTGTGCGAGTTGAAGGCTGTTATCTCACAACCCCATCTCTGCATGAAATTCCCAACGCCTCAGGGGGTAGGAGTGCTAAGGGGGAATCAAAAGATGGCCAGGGCATGTTATCAAGATACATTTAAGAAGGTTGAGCTCGCCGCAGCCCCGAGAGGCTCCTCCGAAAGTAGTAGGCCGACTCAGCTCAACCAACAGACAATGAGCATATCGGACATTGAGCATAGACCTGAGGGTATCGAGCAAAAAGCAGAGCCAATAGAGCCATTAGAAATAGTTCATTTAAACCCTGACGTGCCTGAAAGAACAGTCAAGATCGGCACTAAGCTCACAGAAGAAGAACGAGCAAAACTTTTGGAGTTTTTGAGGGTTAATCAGGATGTGTTTGTGTGGACTACGGATGAAATGCTTGGCATTCCAGCAGAGTTGACAGTCCATAAGCTTAGTACATACCCCACCAAAAGACCAGTGGTTCAAAAACATCGCCTTTTTGGTCCAGAGAAGCAAGCTGCCATAGATGATGAAATACAAAAATTATTACAAGCAGGCTTCATCAAAAGAGTAGAATACTCTGAATGGGTGTCCAACCCCGTGCTCGTCAAGAAACCAAACGGCAAGTGGAAGATGTGCATTGATTTTACCAACTTGAATGAGGCATGTCCGAAAGACCCTTATCCCTTGCCGAATGTTGAAAAGTTAGTGGAGCGGGCAGCAGGGCATGAGCGGATGAGCTTCCTTGATGCCAGCTCGGGTTATCACCAGGTTCAGTTGGTGCTGGATGACCAGGAGAAAACAGCTTTTTATGTAGGTGACGCTATCTACTGTTATGTCATGATGCCGTTTGACCTGAAAAATGTTGGTGCTACATATCAGAAGCTTGTGCAAATCATATTTAAGCTCTAGATCGGCAGAAACATAAAATTATATGTGGATGACATGATAGTCACCAGTGTACGAGCTAAAGATCACATAGGCGACCTGAGTGAGACCTTTCAAAACTTGCGCCAAGCTCAAATAAAGCTAAATCCCCTGAAATGCACATTTGCTGTAGAGTCAGGAAAATTCCTAGGGTACGTGGTATCCAAGAAAGGAATTGAAGTAAATCCGGAGAAGGTCCAGGCCGTTCAACAGATGGAGCCGCCCAGGACTGTCAAAGATGTGCAACGTTTGACGAGCCATGTAGCTGCACTGCATAGGTTCATAGCCAGGTCGGCCGAAAGATGCCTCCCATTTTTTAAAGCATTGCGAGAGCCCAAGAACTTTCAGTGGACTGATAAATGTCAACGGGCGTTTGACGAGCTTAAGCAGTATCTAGCTTAAGCAATATCTAGCGTCAGCACCTTTGCTTTCCAAGCCTGCTGAGGGGGAGAGTTTATACCTGTATCTGGGGGTTACGAAGGGAACGGTGAGCTCGGTTCTACTAAGGGAAGAAAACAAGAATCAGAAGCCTATTTACTATGTGAGTAAGGTTTTACAAGGTGCCGAGCAGAATTACCCATTAACAGAAAAGGCTGTTTTCGCCTTGGTATACACAACTCGTAAGTTGAGGGCTTACTTTCAATCACATCAGATTGTTGTCTATACCGATCTGTCGTTGAGAAAGATACTGCAGGGGCCGAAACTCTCTTGCCGGCTCATCGGATAGAGTGTTGAGCTAAGCGAGTATGACCTCAAATTTCAGCTGCGTACAACCATCAAGGGCCAAGCAGTGGCAGACTTGCTGGTCGAGTGGATCTCGGCAACTGTGGAAGGAAAGGCACCCAAACACCTAGTATGGGTTTTATATGTTGATGGAGCTGTTAACGTGGAAGGATCGGGTGCCGAGGCTGTGTTAGTGGGCTCGGATGGCTTCAAATCCAAACACGCGCTGAGGTTCAAGTTTTAGACAACCAACAATGCTGCAGAGTATGAAGCCCTCATTTACGGATTGAAGCTGGCGTCCGATCTGAAGGTACAAAGCATTCAGGTTTTCAGCGACTCTCAACTCGTTGTGGGCCAGGTGAATGGTAGTTATGAAATCAGGGATCCCCAACTCGGTCGTTATGCCTCTGTGGTCAACAGATTGAAGTCAATTTTTATCTCCTTCAAAATTGATAAAATACCAAGAGCAGATAACCACCGAGTTGACGAGCTGTCAAAGTTGGCCTCCTCGCAGGACCTTAACCCTCAGAGATCGACAATTGTCGAGGTACTTGACGCCCCGAGCTACACCGATTTCACAGTCGAGTGCCAGCTGCTGAGCACAGATCCTTCCTTACCAAGCTGGACTACCCCGCTCATGAATTATCTACGAAGTGGCGAGCTACCTGAAGATTCGTCTGCTGCAAAGTTGGTCAGACGCAGGGCGGCACATTTCACTTTGATAGATAATCAGCTCTATAAACGAGCAGACTCAATGCTCTTATTACGCTGCCTTACTCCTTATGAAGCTGAATACGCCATGAGGGAAGTTCATGAAGGACTATGTGGCACACACATAAGAGGCAAGACTTTAGTTTGGAAACTCCTGAGACATGGGTATTACTAGCCAACCATGGTTGAGGACGCACAGGACTACGTCAAAAAGTGCCTGACCTGCCAGTTCAATGTTGATGACATTCACATGCCAGGCATCCGAGCTCGTTCTAAAGTTTGTGCAAACTTCATGTTTGTCTATAAACTGAGCATAAGTATCTTTGTGGAAACAGGGGAAATGCTCTCGTCACTCTCATCCCCCTGGCCTTTTGCTCAATGGGGAGTCGACCTGCTCAGCCCTTTCGTGAAAGGCAAAGAAGGATGCACTTACCTCGTTGTTGTGGTGGATTACTTCACCAAATGGATAGAAGCTAAACCATTGTTCACGACAAAAAAAAAAAGAAAATAGAAGAATTCTTGTTCAATTCAATATTGTGCAGGTATTCTTTGGTAGCTTAAGCCATTTGTACATTGTGAGTGTAATTTGTGGCTCAGCTCGGTCATCTGTGTACAAGTTTGGCATACCTAAGAGGATCATTGCTGAAAATGGTCCATAGTTCTAAGCCACGGCCCTGAGGTCGTTCTGTAACAACAATGGCATTAAGCTAGCCTTGACATCCGTGTATACTCCACAGTCAAATGGACAGGCCGAGTCCACCAATAAAATCGTCTTGCGGGGCCTTAGGACGCGTGTTTCAGATGCACATTCTAATTGGGTTGACAAGCTCAATAAAGTCCTTTGGTCATGTCGCACCACACCCAGCTCGGTTATAGGTGAAACCCCGTTTAGCCTTGCGTATGGAGCTGAGGCCGTCATCCCAGTAGAGGTCGAATTATCATCTGGTAGACCAGGCCAGCATGACGATCACAGCAATGAGCAACTTTTGAGAGAGAACCTAGACCTTGTAGAAGAGGTTAGGGAAATGTCTCGAATAAGAAACATGGCGTATCAAGGTCGTGTAGCAAAATTCTACAATAAGAGAGTCCGAGCTCGTCAGTTTCAGGTTGGCGATCTGGTATTACGTAATGCCGGATTAACTAACACATACTCGCACATGGGCAAGCTCGCCCCTAATTGGGAAGGTCCATACATGGTTGCTCAAGTTACCGTTTACATGGAATATTCAAAACCTTAGAAAATTTTACAGTTGATTTGTATTCTTGCTGAATATTTAGAGAATTTGAATAATGTATGAACAATTATTGGAAATAGTAAACACAGTTTTTCAAAATTCGTTTCAATTGTATTCCTTGCAAGTTAATTACATGAGGTATCAACGAAACTACAAAATATGTGTCCAACAAGGAAATATTGAAAATACAAAAGCATAAGAAACAGAAAAAGCCTAGGTCTAGTCATCCGTTAAGTCCACGGGTGCGGATGCATCAACACGAGCTGGGACGAAGATGGCAGTAGGGACGGGCTAAGGCATGGGAAGAGTACTTGAAGGTTCAGCTTCTTCTACAGGGGCATCACCCACCCAGGAGTCGAACCTCGGCAGGTTCTCAAACTCCTCTCCTTCTTCTAGAACAGATGGTGGCCATATAGGCAATCATCTTCATTTAGCTCCCAACGGAGCCTCACCGTCGTATCAGAAGGAGTAGTAAGGCTCTTCCCCTCTGCATCGAACTCTTCACCTTCAAAAAACGCGAGCTCGTTGATCGGGAAGTCTGGCCGGTGCTTCAACACTTTACCACGAACGTCATTGTAAATTTCAGTCGTGGTGTTCATGGACGCCACAGCTACGGCATCCTGGAACATGTTAGCACCTACCAGCCATTCCGCGCCTTGAGCTCACGCAATGCTAATGCAGCGCTGGTGTTCAACTTTGGCCTTCTTCAGTGACTCCTCTGCGCGAGCAAGGTCCTGGTCGGCCACAGCTACCCGCCTTCTTAGGGCGTCGAGGTAATTCAGCGCGCCATCTCTTTCAGCTTCAACTTTCTTCGTGCGATCTACCGCACAAACAACCTCATCCATGGCCGCCTGGATTCTACTCTCCTTCTCAGCCTTCACCTTGTCCAGCTCTTCCTGCAGCTGGTTGACCTTGTTGGCTAGCTCGTCAGCTAGGCTTCCGGCTGATGCAGCTCTGTTGGCCATCTCTAAGCTCTGCAATCGGTTCACCTCGTCCTCCAAGCTCACTTTGTCTGAGGACAACCTCTTGCAGCTGTCAGCCAGCTCCCGGTTTTGTACACGAGCTGCTTGCTCGCTCTCAAATAAAGCTACAGAGTAGCTTAGCGCCTGTAACAACACTCCTATAGTCATTTTTTACCCCAAAGTTACAACAAAAACATGTTCGTGCAGCAAAATACTCACATCCATCATCTTCAACATAGCAGCGTGGCTCCCGTGCTGCTGAATATAACCTTTGGCGCGCTGACGGTCCACAAGTGGGACGAAGCTCTGCATACCCTAGACCATAGGGAGCTGACAATCGGGCTTAGTGTAGCTAAAGCCCTCTAGGTATGCGATTCTGGGGCCCCCACTAGCTGCTGGTGAGGGAAGCGCCTTAGCCGTGCTGCGCGTCTTGACTGCAGGCGCCTCAAGTGAGCGCACCGCTCCAGGTTGACTCCCAGCATTCAATCTGCGCCGAATCAATGGTACATCATCTTCGGCATCGGAGTCTTTGGGAGCACGCCTCCGGACCTCAGTAGGAACGGTTTCTACTCTACGCTCGGCCTGTGGCCGTAAAGCCGAGCTGGACCCTTGTTCCCTCTGTGACGAGCTGTGGGGTGCTGCAGGAGGCAGCTCGTCAAAGCGCGTTTGCCTCCTTGTGCTAGACCTAGTCCCCCTGCCTCGTGAGCGCTGAGCTCGTTCCCGTTGTCTCTCGAGCATGCTACTCATCTCTCTTGCACAAACACGTGCAATAAGACTCAGCTCGTGAAAAAAGTAATTCACAATAGAGTTGTACCTTCACTAAACAGGTTGTGACATCCACAAACCCACGCAAAGCGAGCAGGTCAGAGGTAACCAGGGCTTCCAAATCAACTAACCCCTCTCCCTTCACATGGTTAGTGATCCTGTCCTTAAGCTCCAGGTCGCCCAGGGTTAGTGTGGGGTAGTTCATGTACGCGTGCCTTGGGCGCCACTCAGAGAGACGAGCTGCCAGATCGGTGCTAACCCTCTCTGTTCGCGTGTCTCGGACAAAGATAAATTGTCTCTTCCAACGAGACACCTTATTCCTCACATTCTTAAAGATTGCCATTTTTTCCCACCCAGAAATGTAGTACCACCTCGTCTGTGTGGTACTCAGCCGGCATAGAAAGAGCGACCTGAACACAATGGCCTTCGCAAGTATCTCCAACCTTGCACACAGCAGCATAAATCCTACGATCAATTTTATGCTGTTTGGGGTCAACTGTGTTAACGCCAGCTCGTACTCAGCCAGAATGTTAAAAATCAGCCAGGGTAACGGGAATCTCAGGCCGGTGTCGAAGTGGTCTACATATACGGGTATCCACCCTGTTGCTAACACACTGCAAGCCCTTTCATTTTTTGTGCCAGTTCGTAACAAAACTGTTCTAGGAACGTGATACTGTCTCACCACTTCCTCTAGTCTCTTATACCCTTTAATGGAGGTAGCACAATCTGCTACCTCATGATGCAGGTTCGCCCTAAACCTAAATCCGGCTATCAATGTATGTGGCGCTTTACGAAGATTGCTCAGCCTGCTACCTATGGTTTTATTCTCCCAACCCGCAACCAGGGGTACATTTACGGCCACCTCCATACTTTTCGACGAGGGGCTACTTGCACTGGCAGTGTTTTCTGACGACGACCCTTTAGATGATGGAGAAGGGTTAGCACTGGAGCCCTCATGCGCGCCTAAACTGGCACTGCTCTCCAGCGTAAGGGTTTTCGGCAAGTCCTGCAGTTCCGGCGGTACAACCATCATGATTGGTTCTACGGATATCACACTCTCTTCCCCTTTTGCACCCTAGTTACCCCGAAGTTCTCCTACTTCTCTAACAAATTCCATTTGTTATTACCTGAAAAATTAACTCTAAAAAACTGAAAGTGTCGCCTGAAAATTTTGGGAGTCCTTCGTCGCAGAGAAATGCAGAGAATATGGAAATGAAATGCCAAAACAAGGACAGAGGTGACAGAGGGGTTAAGCGACCGTGCCCATCATTACGTTACACGCCCCTCTGGTAACCAATCAAAAGGTTACGCATGGCAGGTACTTATTGCTTGGCATGTAGCGTCCGCCGGCTTTAACTGTCACGTCTCTTCAAACGCTGAGCCAACATTTATTAGGGGGGGATTGAGAATACTAACCGCTCTGAACCATATCTCTTTAGAGATTTCACAAATTTAAATTTCAAAAAGTGACAAGGATCAGCTCGTAACAAATCTCCTCAGAGATCTGCCTTAACTCAAAATTTGAAAAGTTCGAGAAATTTGCTCGTAACTAATCCATGATCTCTCTAGAGATTTCAAACTCGATCAGGTCGTAACAAATCAAAGATTCACCTCAATATCGAACATCAAACGTCAGATCGTACCTAACTTACTCAAATTTGCTCTACATCCACATATCTATATTCCAGTGATGAGTAAGGTCGCCCATCTCAGCCCGTATAGGTCTGTTGGTTCAGTTCGTTCACTATATGCTAGCCATCACTCTACTACAGAGAATCCATCAGGCGAGATCGTCCGTGCGCATCTGCTCAGCTCGCTAATCAGCGCTGAGCTCGCCTTGCCTGACCACCCGCTCATTCACGCCTGCTCTGCAGAAGGTCGACATGTACATACACATCAGACTCGACCACCCTGGTTTCAACCCGCCCAGATCGGCCGTGCATGAGGTCGGCCATGAACACAAAACATCACTCCTCATCCCCAGGGTCAAACACCGCACTAGCAAGACTCTCGGCCCAGTTCGTCAACCGAACACTGAGGGGGGAGTAATGTTGGGATTAGGCCCAACACCCACTTTGGGCCACATATGGTAGGCCCAACTATGTGCCCACAATCCCAAAAAGTGGAGACATGCCCACGTGAGCAGCACCACGTGGGCCAATGAGATGCTCACGCGTGCAGATGCATGTCAGCATTTAGGGTTATAAATACCCCCCAACTACCTCAGATGAAGGTAATTAATCTCTACGCTTCTCTCTAGAATATTAAGTATTGCTGATTTGAGCGTTGAGTATTTTCCCGAGGAAACATCCTCAAGATTTTCAGGTGTAAAAGCAGCTGAGGACTTTAACAGTGCTGAACTACGAAACTGCCCAAACAAGTACCTCTTAATACTCTATACTCTAGCTGCTTTCAGCAACCTACCCGCCACGAAATGCCCCTACTCACAGACAACCATACTGAAAAACACAAAATCAAATCCGCTAAGCAATACGCATCACCATCCAAGTAAAGCACAAAAACCCATTTCCACAGAAGCTTTCAAATTAGTGCTCCTCTTTGTAACTCCACAAGTTCCAATTAAGATTTAAGTGACTAAGCACGGGCTCACCCATCATCCATTAGCAGCTAAAGCAAGCAAATTCAAAGAAAAAAAAAAAAAACAGGGACTATAATCAAATGACAAAAATAGATACCAGCCCAAAATCTGATCCAGCTAAACCTAAACCAAGAGCCTAACACCATCAAAATCAAAACATCACCGAAATCGCCCCTTTCAAAGATGCCCAAATCCCAGACAACCAAACAAGATCCTCTCCTAGCTCAACCAACCGGTATGTACAGAAAATCAGCATCCCCTAATCTGAACCTGAATCTCCTGTTCTCCATCTAAATCATTGATTATTGCCCTAACCATTAAAGAATCAAATCCCCTACCAAAAAAAAAACCTAGGGTTTTGCCTAATCCAAGAACCACCCAAAACTAGGGTTTTGCCAAAAATCGAAGGAGGCTCGCTACCTGCATCGGAAAATTAGAGAGAAGAAAAAAGAGTTGGGATTCCGATCTGTGAACTTTTTTTCAGCTGGAGGAGAAAGTTTTGATTTTTTTTTTTTTTCAAAATTTTTGAGGAGAGACTGGCTATCCTCTCTCTCTAACCAGGAATGACGTTCTTTACCTCTACAGTGACTAAAAATGAAATTAATTGAAAATAAAAATGGAAATTAATACAAGTCAGCGCGCGGTACTGTTCCGTGTACTACACGCACCGATTTCATCCGGAATGCACGGCGGTTTTT